GGTTGTAAACCCGTGTGGATGCTAATTTTGAACACCATCAGAGTGACTAGCTCTGCCGCAGAGGGCTGCGGAGCGCACTGGGGGCGCTGGGATTGTCCAGAACCATTCCTTGCAGACGTTTGTGAAGGTGTCGCACGTGGAGGTGAAAAAATGAGTGTCCTGCCTGGCTCTGAGTGTCTGAGGAAAATGGAAAAGTACCACACCCCAGCATTCATCGTAGGAGTCTTTTATAAAAGTGACTGAATTAAAACGTGAAGTTTGACATTGAAATGTTACTATAAGGCTAGTAAGATAAATTTCCAGACATCTGTAAAGGAGGACTTTGCTGGTCAAAGTGGCAGCTGAGGGAAATCCAGACAGTTCACAACAAGAGAGCTGAAATAGCTTTTTTTTTTTTGAATGGAAAGAGACAGATGATACCTAACGCAAAAGGATGGTAGAAGGGGAAAAGAAGAAAAATCACTGAATACGATACTGGGTAGCTGCAAATTAGACCCATTTATTCTTGATGCCTACAGCTTGTCTAACCCAGCTAGCTTTTGTTCCTAAATAAGCACTTTTTTGTGAACATATAAAAGTGGCAAGAACCCTGCCCTCGTCTACCCAGAACGTGCTGTCTGTGGCCACAATGGAAATTTCTTGACCTGCAGCACAATAATCTGTGACTTCAATTTCATAATTGAAAGAATGTAAGAATTGAAACGATTGCTCAGTCAGCCAGGCAAATGCACCGGCCTCTAGTCTGCAGTTCCATCTGGGCAGAACATGTGTAACGAGAAGGTGAGAAAATACTTGTTAAGAGGTTAAAAAAACCCCATTTTCTTCCCCATTTTTGACTTCTGCATGCATTCTTCTCTCGTTTATTAATAACATAGTTTTGCTGATAGTGTTAAAAATGCATTTAATGTTGATAAAGTTAAAATCCTAAATTTGAGCAGCTTATTAAAGTATTTATTATGATATTCAAGTATGTTTACAGCTAGTCACTTCCCATGCCAATAGTTCTGAGTCACTGTATGTGTTTTCAAAGCCAGCAGCATATTCCTTAGTTTCATGGTTGGTTTTTTGACTTTGCTATGCTAATTTTTATATGCCTATGCAAGCTCTGCTTGCATGAGGAGGTCTGCCTAAGGAGTTTCAAGGATTATGTATTAAGCTAAGTTTCTGTTACATATTTGCTTGCTGTTACATATTTGCCTGTCAATTTATCTTGTAGATTATGACCTATGTCTGCCAGATACTGTCTTACATTCTTTCCTGTGTGCTAGTCAGAACACAGGACTTTAGATCTAATCAGGGTTGCTGGATTTACCAGAAAAAGTATAATTTTTTTGTAGCAGGAGAACACTCACCTTACATATAAAGATTCTTAGGGAATTTGTGTCTTTCTCATTGTAGAGGAGAACTTAGAAAACACTTGGTTGCAATGTTACAGGTTTTCTTATCTACAATTTTTATTTAGTATTTCTCTGTTACTTCTTTCCTTTAAGGTATACACATTAAAACTCGCAAAATATGCATGTGCAAACTCAATGTTAATACTTTTTTAATTGTAGTACTATAATTTACTTTGGTAAATTTGTATCCCTGTTTAAAGTGTCTTAAAGCAATTAAAACTTAGTTTAAATTCAAGTATTGTAAAATGTACAGAGTATAAGCACAAAAAAAGCTGCATAGTGAAAATACTAGAGCAGGCTAATACATTCAGGATGCCAAATACTCAAGTATTAACAACACCAGATCAGGATTAAGGTCAATGATAATTAGCCAGCTTCATACAGTAGATACAGAACTGTGGGCAATATAAACGCATTGTTCTCACCATTAACAAAAGATAGAAGCATAAATTAACACTGAAAGAATCGTTAGTATCAGGTTTTGTAACACATGCCGTTAAGTCGTAAGGCAAATACTGACACTTAAATTAATCCTTTACATGCTGCTGGGAGTCCAGCAAATACAGTACGAGGTTTTTCTAGATTCTGAGCCCCTGCACATCCCAGTGATTTTGGTGAGAGTTTGTGACATCTATACCTCTTAAAAATCCTCATCAACAATTACTACAATGCTTGTAGTAATGCAATTTTGTTTGAATTTTTATTTGAAATTTGTCTCATAATATTACGAAGAAGTATGTCTGAGTTTGTATTTTATTTCTGCTGTGTATGGAAGCAAGATCATCTACTGTACTTTGTATTTGTCCATAGCTACTTTGAGTAGCAGCAGGGGATCCTTTTTGAGCATGGTAGAATTTTAGAATATGTAGCCCTTATTTAGTTCGTTTAATTTGAAGGAGTCAAATGTCCTATGAACAGTCCTAGCCTGGCATGAGAGTGACTTGTTACATCATACTAGATCAAGGGCATAACTAACTTATAATATTTGTCGGAGGAGGAATTTGTTGAAGATTAATTCACATTGTTGCAAAAAACAAAATTAATTAAATGCCAGCATTAAAATGGTTGGTTGACTCCTTACATTTGAACAATTAAATCATTTTACTTGCTATGGTTAAGAACATTGTAGTACAGATCTGTGTGGACACGTAAGAGAATGATTGAATTTCAGTGGAAATTACTGCTTCAAAATCAGTGGAACAATATGGCTAAAGTATTACTGGTTTTTAAATAACAGTTTTAAAAATATGCATATAATTTTGTAAGGGAATTACAGTCATTGTCTAAAAAAATTAATTTAAAAATACCAGCCACTTTAAAAAGAAAATTCTTTGTTAATAGTTTATGTATTTTAAGAGCATCTTTGTATGTAATTTTTGCTCTTAGAAAGTGTTATTTTAAAATAATATTTCAAGAAGTATGACAGTTGTGATATAAATGATTACAATGATTCAGCAGTCATTACATGTATGCAATACTGAATAATTAAGAGAATGAAATACTCAGTTCTCATTTCCAGAAAGAGAAAACAAGTTCTCTTTTACAAAGGCAGAATATGTTAAAGTATAAAGTTATTGTTTAATTTCTGTAATATTTGGGGAAATTCTACAAAACAACAACAATGAGAAAATTAAAGGGCTGCACCCAGAATATAAAACTAGTAGAAGTTAGGTTTCTTGGAATCTTAACTCCCTTGCTCTTCTCTCTTTCTTTTAAAAGACTGGTGTGTTTTTATTGTATTAATCAAAGTACTTAGTAAGGTTGTGTAGTTGTTGCAAGACAGCAGGCCGTGTACGTCCACCTGCAGTTTATTTCCAGAGCCCCTTGGGGGTGAACTTCGGGTTAATTTGCTGTAGGTTAGGGTTTGATAGATGGAATACTGCAAGATCTCCTCATTACCAGCCTGACTTCAACGTCGGGAAGAGCTTTCTTTTTAGTGTGCAAACATCCGTCGTCTGTTGCTGCGAGGTGGAGATCAAAGCGCAGGGAAACAGATTTTTTCCTTAAACGAGGGTTGTCCTTAAAGAAAGAGCCTTCCCATTCTTTAATGACTTCATCCACTTTTTCTGTCCTGAAACAACAAAATAAATGTATTTATGATCCTCTAGGCAATATGAATTATCTATCCGCAGTACTCCTTTTAAAATCTAGAGAGAAAGTGACAAGTTACTTTAGATGGGTAGTGAGACACTAGAATTTTTCTTGTTTTTTTCACAGGTTCATTCTCCAGAAAAGCTAAATAAAGGGTTCGTTATATTCTTGGTTTTGTACTTTTAAGTAGACATGGATACGAAACCACTGCTCTAAACACATGAAGCAGTTTGTTTCTAAGGAGAAAGTTTGGAATCCAAGTTCAAAAACTTTGCAAGAAACCTCTGTTGTATAGTGGGCAGGACAGAATTCCTGGATCTGAAAGCCTTCTAAATAGGGAGCAGAAAAATCTAGTTCAGATCCAAACCTCAAGATGCAGATCTACATTGAATTAAAAAAAAAAGAAAGAAAGGGCAGAAGTAAAGTACAGAGAATTGAAAACCCAGCTGATTCAGTAACACTTGGGCAGCCACATCCTATTGGTTTAATCCTCCAAGGATGTGTCAGGATCCAGATCTAAGGTCTGGCTCTGGGGCCCTTACCTGTAACAGTCCTCAGGTGAGTAGCCCCACGCAGAACTGACACACTGTGTACGATGGACAAAGCTCAGGTGTGCAAATAAGCAGTCCAATACTATTACAGTCATTTAAGGTGAGTAATACGTACTAACAGACTTTCCCATGTCCACTTAGGAGCCAAGCTCTCTGTTCCCTGTTTGGTAACTGGTGAGACGTAGGAGCTCCCAAATGGCAAGTTAGAGCAGCCAAGCCTGAGTTAATGTGCATAAACATGCCCCAGAGGCACCTCGCAAACGTGGTGTGGGCTCTTTTGCTTTTACTGCACTAGATGAATTATTCATAGTTTCATTTGTAAAAGAAATAGAAATAACAAGTCAGAAGCGTCATCATGATAGTGTTAGCTATGAAGTAAATGCTAATAAAAAGCACTTCAAAATTTAATGTATTGTTAAAACTTGCCATTCGATATACCTTCAAGAACTATCCCTGTTATTCCGGAGATTCTTGGCTGTATGGGCATGGTATAACAGATGCTAAATAAAAGAATACTCAAAGCTATGGAAGTGTAATGCCCACCACTTGTTTTCTTATTTTGTTACAATCATGTTTATCTTACTGTACAGTGCCATGAGCTTCAGCGCTTTCCTTTATAATGTTTCCATCTAGGATTGCTTGTTTTGTCATCAGTTCTACCTTCTCAGTTTCATGCTGCTTTACACTATCTGTAAAAGAAAACGCAGATGTAGTAGGCATGCAGCACATGGGACCTAAAGGTATTTTTCCTCCTCATGTATTGGAAGAAGATCCTTTTGTAATACCCAGTAACTTGTTGGCAGTTAGAATCCTCCTTTAGGGCCATAATCCCCCAAGTGAAAGTGTCTAAAAACTCACTCGAAGGCAGTGTAAATGCAATCTTGCTAGTGGTAGGCTTTTTGTCATCCTTCTGGTCAGGTATAGAGCAACGAAACCTGCAAAAATAAAAAATATTACAGTCATAATATTGAATTACTTTAATCCAAAACTTGTCCTATGAACAGCTATGAAAAATTTAAAAATATGAGAACCATGAGAAGTTCTGTCTGACTGCAGCAACTTTTTGTTAGGATTCCCTGGAAGGCATATTCTTAAATACCATCCTAAAGTGCTCCTCAACACCCTTTCCGTGACAGCACAGCGCATAAACTCCACGTGCAAATGGCCATCTGTCAAGGGATGAGATGTGAGCTCCTCTCCCACAGCTTCACGCGCCTGGACTCGCTTCATCAATGGTCTGAGACAAACGGAGCCCACGTCAGGCAGCTCCGGGGGCGCAAAGTCTGCGTCAGCAGGCAGTGCCTCAGTGAGGAGGCAGGAGACGCGCTGCTGTCTGCCACGCATCACGGGGATACCCTCAGCTCCAGAAATGGGGAGTCAGTGAAGTTGTTACAATGGAATCATCACTAAGGATTTTATAGTGTAATTTTTTAATGATTGGTTCATATGTTTACAATTCTGATGATTACTTCAATGAGAAGTTCTGAAAAGGAAGCTAAATTTGAGTACATTTAACAAGTACCTGTTCTCTTCTTGCTCCAGCAGGCTGCGATATGTTGCTATCTCCTCCTCCAGTTTCATCCTTGTGTTCAGGAGAATCTCATGTTCTTGAAGCTGTTTCTCAATGCCTCTTCTCACTTCCAGTAGCTCCTTCTCCAAGCACTCAATCTCAGCTTCTAAATTTTGTAGTTGCATGTGGTACTGCTGCTCTGTGGCACGCAATGAACGTTCCAAACCCTTTTCCTGTGAAATTTAACTCATATTTTAAGATTTGGAAAGTATATGTGTAAAAATGTTGCATATACCTTTCATTAACAATCTGTGTATTTTTACATCAGTTCTTTAAAAAATATTCTTTAGGAATACTTCTGAGAAATCTGCCAGTAAAATCTGTAGTAATTTAAGATGGGATAGAAACATGTGGCCTTCTGTTGTAGCAGCAATCCACTAGCACTGATTTTCCGGAGCTCTGATTTTACCTGTATGGTTAAGATGATAGCTAGCTCACAACGGTACAAAAACAAGTGACAACATGAAAACATGAGTCTACTGAATGGCAGATCCTGAATCCCAGTGTGTGATACTCCTAAGTGTGGGTGAGTGGCCGGGGTGTTGCTGCGTAAGGCGCCGACAGTCCGCTGCAGGCTCTGCGTGTCTGTGTGTGCTGGGTTTCCACTGTCTAGTGGATGTGATTGTTAGATAAACTGAATTGTGGAATAGTTTACATCAAGAACACGGTTTCTTTTTTCCAGGAGGCTTCAGGTTTCATTTTATGATGCTTACCACAGCGTGGAGAGATTCAATTTCAATCTGCATATGGTGCCACTGCCGTCTTGCTTCACAGAGTTCTGCTCTGGCTGCCTTTAATGCTTCTGCATCTTTGTCCATTCTTTGAATTGTAGCCGCTTCTAGCTACAGGGGATATAAAAAAAAGGTAGCAATATTAAAAATATATTCAAATAATGAAAATAAAACAGATACATAAAAAAAAATCTAGTTGGATTTTTTGGGGAGTTGTATAAATTTGTTAAAGCTAACAGTGATGAGCCAATATTTTATGTGCCGTGTAGATGGGAAGCCCTTATCCTGCTATGTTTGATGGGAAGTAGTTGGCTGCATCTTTATCCCTAATATATTTGTAATAGAATTCCCATACAAATTAACCAGTTGCATTGAGACCTTATTCACCTCTAGAGTAAATGTGCTTAACTTCATGGCTATTAGAGGAATTGCAGTCATTTCAAGCTTCCAGGTTGGAATAAAGTTGTTTGTTTTTAATGTATTTTTGATTTCTAAGAACAGCTTTGTAGAGAGGGAGCCCTTTCGAGTGGTTGCATGAATATATCACAGTTGAAAATTGCTGTAATTTTGATTTTGCCTGATATAGTCAGTGACTAGATTTCACATTGCCATTTGAGAGCAAGCGCCTCCATTCATTTATATATGAATAGCATCTTTATCCAACTTTTTTATCCAAGCACATGTTATTTAAGCTTTACCTATAACAAGAAGGAAAAAACTGGCATATTCCCCAAGTATATGCTGTCACCCATGTTATATGTCACAGTTCAGAAGTGAAGTGCCTGTTCCAAGCTTAATCCTGACCTAAAATATCTTTTAAGATAATTTGCCAGCCTTAAGGCTGAAGCTTACTCTTAGAAAAAAATGTAAATAGTCAAACAAGTACTGTGTTGTGTTTGCAAGAAAATGTGGGGGGTTTGCCCCACATTTTTAAGCCAATCCTGAGCATATGTGGGCTCACTTTAGATTTGGGCTCATCTTTGATTTCCATAATATGTTCATGCATTTAACTTCCGGAATGTTTTATTTATGAAAGTTATTTTTCCTTTTTGATTCTGAATTTTACTGCAAGTGATGAAGATGCCATAAGCACTTGAAACAGTACATAATCTTTTGCATATTTTATTGCTTTATGTAGGTTCTTACGATGCCATCAATTCTAAGAAAATAAACTCTTTAATTCAGGTCTTATGAAGCCAGTAAAATAAGCTGCTTTCTCCCCCTGTAGCATACTGACCCGTTGTAATTTCACCATGCCATTGTTATGGCGAAAAATCTAAATTTGGCTAATCCACAAGGGAACACTTAATATTCTTTGCTTACCCCTTTTTTTGCCTGGGTGCTGCAGAATTTATGTGACAAGATTTTGTCATTAGCTGCTTTGTGCCAAACACAAATAGAAACTTGGATTAACTATCTAGTGATATCTGCTGCGTGTCATTGGAATTCTGTGTAGATCCACCAGATTGCAGTAGTCTGGCCTGAGGTTAAAATAAACCTCCCAAATTTCTGCAATACCTAACAAGTACAACATATATATAATATCTAATTTTCACCCTGAATTTCTTGATGTTTGATGCTGAAAATTGTTTTGACATTTTATTTCAAAGTTCAGTGGGTTTTAGAGGTGCTTTGTATGTAAATCTGTAATAGTAGCATTGTGTGTTGATAACATTTAATCAATCTGTATGAAAGAACAAATTCTATTTGCTGAGGAGTAGAACATAGTTTTACTGTGAACAATATAAAATAGTTCTTGAAAAAGTACAGTTTTTAATATAGGTGCTAAAAATGGCAAAGCTGCATATAAATGGATTCTTTACATCGCCTTTAATTTTCAAGATTCTCTTTTCCTCTGGGATAACTAAATGGTGCTAGAGGTTACCATGTTACAGCATATGTCATCATTTTTTTTAAATCACGACAATATCACTGTTGCAGGTACAGAAAAACATCCAGATGAATTACACAGCATTTGGCTAGTGTGAATTTCGTACCCTAAACAAATCTATTTCCGTATCTTCTAGTGCACATCTTACTGCAGTAAAATCAAAATCCCTTCCCCAATAACACGCTGCATCGCAAAGGAAATACTGTACCTCATAGAGGCTGAGGGAGGAACTGTACAGAGAGGGCTTGTCTCCTGCCTCTGGAAGGTGTGTGTCTGTGTGCAGTCATTACCTGGGTCCTTGCTGAGCTGATGGTCTTGGTCTGATTGCTGGTGCTGAGCGTTTCATACCTTGCCCTGATGCCGCTGAGGAGCTGGGGCAGTTCCATTCTCCCAGCCTCCACCTTGGCTCACCCAGCCCTGGCGATAGGACGAGCCGGCTGCTGCAGAGCTTTCGCCGCCTGCAGCGAGCGCAGGGGGAGCACGGCCGGCTTTTAAAGCTGCAGAGCGGTATTTCGGAGCAGGCACTGGAAGGGCACAGGCCTCCGGTCGTTTCTGAAGGCAGGTTCAGGGATGCGAAGGCCTGTCACTTTTGCAGCAGTTAAAATAGACAGTCCTACCGTAGGTACTGAAATGAATATATACAATGCCTTTATGCCTTTGTTACACTATAGCTGTCATTTCTTATAACCTCAAAACCGTGAGGTTAAGAGATACAAAACAGGACAAAATTACAGCTGCGCAGCATAAGAGTGCAATCGTAGAGGGGAGGGGACCGGTTCCACCAGTGCACCCTGTCGGTGGGGGAGCTGCTGGCAGGTCTGTTCACCCGGCAGTTGTGCAGCCCCAGAGCACGTTATTTAGAGATGCGACAGAGTTTCTATCCTCAAAGGTTTTGAGATTCGGCAAGAGGAAGCGTCAGGTGGCCGACCCGATCTAGCGTTCAGGACTGTCCCCTTTCGGAAAAGAGCTGGGTCATGGACATCCTCTCACCCAACATTTGGGGGTTTTATTGGCGGAACAGAAACAGAGGGAGAGGAACCAGCACCACTAGCGGTAAAGAGTGCTTGTGCACCTTCTGCGAGGGGTTTGGCTGCTTATCTCCAAAGCTCTGGTGAATCAACACTTCAAGCATAGCTACCTGCCGTCAGAAAAAGTGTCTGGTTTGTCTCTGAAGGTGTTTAGGGAACCTCTGCCATGAGTCGATGTGTTCAGCTCACAGAACGTGCAGGCTTTGTTAAGATTCTTCACGCTTTTCCTGACAGCTACCAGGGAGGCAGAAAATACAGGTCATCTTCTGTGCTATATTTTCTGCCAATAATTAATCATTTCCTGGCTCACTAGCTACTGTATGATCCCAAAAATCTTGCCTACGAAGAACAGTTCATACTTATTTTTCAAAGTTTCTTCAGTAATGTGTGGTACAAGATAAAAAAAATATTTAGTAAAAAAGATCAGGTTTCAGTGAAAATGAAAATTCCCTGGATAGAATGCATTTTTAGGTTCCAACTAGTAATATACATGAATGAAATGAGAAAAATAGCAGCAAACATTTACATAACACTCATCTTTTTAGAAGTCAAAAGTATTATACCACTTGAAAGTCTCCTTGTGTGCATAAGGCTTCCTTGTTCTTCCCTCTGTGAACTGGCACATGTAAAAGGATCCTGTGTTCTGAGTTTATTTTTCTTAGCTGACTGGTTTTCAGCTGACCTGGACTGAGATGAGAATGTTTTGTTGTCCACTGTCTTTTCTGGAAGTGTCTTAATTGTTCTAGTTTTATGTAGTTCTAAAATAGTATGAGAACAGTCACATAAAAAACCCCCATCGGGAGTCCGTCAAACACGCATGATATTGCACCTTAGAACAGTATAAACATTACTAGGGAGAGCCTGTGTATTTAAGCAAATAAGATCTTGAAATGTAATTTAAAATCTTCCTTTTTCTTTGCATTGCAGTGCCAATTGTTTACAGTTTTCTTTCTGTTCTGCGAGACTCAGAACCTCTTCTGCTTGCTTTAGGTGAGGTCAAAGCTCTCTAGTGTCCAGAAATGAATCCAGAAATGATTGAGTTTGAAATACAATTCTGCAGGGATATTCAATCTGACAAATCAAACTTTATGCATTAACAGGAATCTGTGGGTGAATCTTTGCGTTACCAGGAGCTAAATGTTTGCCAGCTGATAGAATTTTTACAAGCTTTTAAAAAAGAAGTTAGCACTAATGCTTTCTTTTTCCATTTCTTTTTTTCAGGTGTAAATGGAACACCTGGCTGTGAGATCCTTGATGTAGGTAGGTGTACGCAATTTTATCTTTACTGAGATTTATGTAATATTGCTTCCTTTTCTTACCTAAGAATCACACAAAAAATGTCAACTTTATGGCTCAAGAACAAAAGCTTGGGTGTGAATTGTCAAGGGATTGTATTTTGGTTCATAATTTTGGTTTGAATGAGATTCCTTTAAATAGTTCATTTGAGTTGTTCAAATGAAGCTGGTTCAGGATTTGAAGGATCACGTTGTGCTCCTACGAGATGACACTGGGACACGAGCCTGTGAACCAGCGTGTCCCTTTCATTTTTGTTGCAGTCTCTACAATATGTCCTGCTTGCAAAACTTTCTCTCTTAAATTGATAGCTTTAGAATATAAGTTAGCAAGTATTCCTTTAGTCCCACGTTTAAAGACATTTTTAACATGCATGTTCTAGCATTGGTTTAATTTCATTAAATGAACGAGGAGTACTGTACCACACACTTAGTACAGGGGGAAGCAAGATATCCAAAAGAAGAGCAAATATGGATCAGGAGCAGCAGTCCTAAATGAAGAATAAAGGAGACTAATATCTTAAAGCTTGTTAAGTCCTTTTTATTAGTCACGAAAACTGAAAAATGAGGTTAGAATAGTAAAATTATTTTATCTACTAATTACTAAAAAACTTTAAAAAGCATATCTAATTAAATGCCTAATGTGTGCACCATATTTCTAGTTATTGAACAAAGAGTTGATGATACATTTCAAGAACACCGTGAAAATAGCACAAGTAATGCCAATAGACTGAAGCAGAAAATACATTGTAGGACTGCTAAGAATGACAATGCAGGCTTTGTTTTATGTGAAAGAATCTTAGTAAAAAGCCAGTCTAATTTTATCATGTCATACAAAACAACAAAATCATTTATCCATTTTGGCTTTGAAAAAAACATGCAGTGGTCGGATCCTTTGCAATATCAGGCGCTGCTTTATATCTTCTCTTCAACTTCCTTAACGTGGGATGCAACAACCTTTCCGTCTACCACTTCTTCAACGATTGTCTTGATCTTTCTAGTTTTGGTAGGATCTAAATGTCATAAACAAAACAAATGTTTATCAGAGTGCTAAAAATTATAAAACAGAGCAGCATGCATACATAAACAATTACATCCTTTTCCTTTCAGATTAATTTCTTGTTTTAATAAACTCTATGATGTAAACAGAATAGCACGTATTTTATTTATAAGAAAGACTTTAGAAACGAAATTGTATTTGATCAAGTTTTACCCACCCTGAGAAGAATCCAGTGACTGTGTTTGTGATTTGGATCCTGTCAAAGATGAGCTTTCAAATGTAGCTCCCTGTCCTGCGCTCCTGAAAGTGAATTGAAGACATCCAGTATTGCAGAATGTTTGTCAGGATCAGGAGAAATTCCCTTTTCATGTTGGCATTGATAGATTATTTTAAATACTGAGCAGAATGGGTCGTTCTCCTCAGTTAGAGTATACTTGTATTATTTCAGAATAATTTTATGGACCTTACTGCCTTTTGGTGAATGTACTGCTTGTTTTTTCTTTTCTCTTTTTTTTCTTCCATGGAAAGAGTATTGCTACAGAAAATAAAACAAAGGGGATATTTATGTAAGTTGGTTACTTACACAAACTCGCCATCCAGCAAGCGACGATAGGTTTCAATCTCCATTTCTAGGCGAGTCTTGATGTCCAGAAGTTGCTGATACTCAGCGTTCTGGCGCTCCATATCGGCTCTGACCTGAAACAGCTGAGACTCCAGATTCCCGATCTGAAGTTGCATTTGTGAAAGCTGAGCACAGTAACCTCCTTCCGTTTCTGCTAAAGTGTCTTCAAGGGATTTTTTCTGTGTGAGAAAGATATTAAGTAATCTCGGATTGAGGGAAAAAATTGACAAAGACAAAACCATCTGAAATAGTTTAATGTGAGTACGCGTCGCCTCATTACTTAGAGATTTTTTTTTCTTGAAATACCAGTTTGAAAACTGACCTTTAGTGCTTCACTGAATGTAAACATAAAAGTTCATCTCCTTTGCAACATGTTACTTGCAATCAAATTACATATATTACTGCTATTTAGGAGCATAAAAAAATCGGGATTTAATAGGAAATAAATGCCAATCTTAAATCCTATAGAATAGCATAAGAGCTAACAGCACTTTTGAAGTTGGAAGTTTCACTCTGACTAGTTAGGAGCTTCTTTAGAACATACCATGGCAAACTGAGATTGAAGTTCGATCTCCAGGCTCTGGAGAGTCCGTTTTAAGTAAATTCCTGACTGAAGCTGCTCAGTGTTGGTAGAGATTTCCCTTTTCAGCTCCCCACTCTGAAATGACAAGGAAGAATGGAGTGTGATTCTACTGTTCCAAACATTTAACTCATTTTTATATGCATTTCACTGAATTTGCTCTCTCTGGTTGTTACCTTTTCATTGAACCATGCTTCAGCTTCTTTGCGATTTTGCTCAGCAATGACTTCATACTGTCCCCTCATGTCATTCAGAAGCTTGGTCAGGTCAGTTCCTGGAGCCGCATCCATTTCAACACTGACTTGGCCAATTGTACTGCTTTGGATGCCCTGAAGCTCCTGGAGAGATGTAAAGTGAAGAGAAATTTCTGTTAATAAAAGGCAAAATAGTTCTACCAAAAATACATGTAAAGAAATAGAGGTGATACGGATTCTGTTTCGGAAGAATCTGTAGCTTCTGTACCCATTTCTTTCACTCGTTCACTTAGTAAACTCAAAAAAGAACAGTAAACAAAACAATGAAATCAAAGAACTCCCACTGGCATAAATAAGGGAATAATATGATATTTCACAATTTCATCTGCCTTCTTTTGAATTCACACACACACACAAAAGTACCTCTTCATGATTTTTCTTGAGATAAGCCAGTTCTTCATTCAGGCTTTCAATCTGCATCTCCAAATCGGCTCTTGTTAAGGTCAGCTCATCAAGAACTCTGCGCAGACCATTGATGTCAGCTTCCACACTCTGGTGAAGAGCCACTTCGTTCTCATATCTGTAAACAAAGTAATTAAATATGATTTTTTTACATGGTTAAAGAGGTCAAACGTAAATTATTACTGCGTACTTACATAGCTTCTACTATTAAATCTTAATACACATAATTATTAGAACATTGTTCAGTAATTATGTTAGCATATTATACAAGGAAAGAGATTTTTAAATACAAAATAAGGTTTTCCTTAAAATATTAGTATGAGTTTTCCTAATATATACTTACTTCAGTCTGAAGTCATCAGCAGCCAGTCTAGCGTTATCGATCTGCAAAATGATTCTTGCATTGTCGATAGTTGCATTAATGATCTGGAATACAAAGGGTGTTCAGAGAATGACTTTGTAGCCCAGTGGCTTTGCAGCTCAGTATAGCTATTTATGTAAATGTAATCCTAAACACCATTATAATATTAAATGTAATTTGTTAGACTATTATATAATTTACTATGAAACTGCATGGGACAGATTTTCAGCTTCTGTGCATCAACGTGCTTCACTTAATGTCGAATCCATTCCACGACCAGATAGTTTGTAATCTCTGAAGACCCTGCCAGGTAGTCTGTCAGGAACAGAATTTGTGATCTAAGAAATATGAAACTTATTAAAATTTTAACTTTGTAGTCTATGAGAGTTTGTAGAACTGGATTCCATCACTGTCTTATTCAGATGAGGCCAAGTCCCCCAGCGCTGTGTGCTGAGCTGCAGAGCTGCTGTTAACAGCCAGGAAAAACCCAACACACGATACCAGTGCAGTGTGACCGAGGTTATTACATGTGTTGGTACTTTAGAACAGCTTATTAAGGCAATTTGCTATTTTAATCCAAAATAGTATTGGATGAATTACAAAGGTAAAGATACATGAAGCACATTGCTTTGCTACCTTGTTTCGAAGATCTTCAATGATAGGATAATATTTACTGTAGTCATTCCCAGGTCCAGGGATACCAGTGCCAGGGCCATTTTTCTCATACCACTCGCGGATTTTGCGCTCCAACTCAGTATTGGAGTCCTCCAGAGATCGTACTTTGTCCAAATAAGCAGCCAGACGGTCATTGAGGTTCTGCATGGTTTCTTTTTTTGAGCCAGAAAGAAGGCCACCATCTCCAGCACCAACAGTGGCAAATCCACCTCCAAAACCAGATCCAGAGCCACTAGCAAAGCCACCTCCAAACCCGGGTCCCGAGCCGCTGCCAAAACCACTTCCAAAACCAGCGCCTGAGCTGCTGCCAAAACCACTTCCTAAACCTCCACCAAAAGCAACCCCTAACACCCAAGCCACTGCCAAAGCCTGCGCCAAATGCACTGCTTAAGCTGCTCCCAAAGCCTCCTCCTGAGCTGCCCCCCAAACCCCCGCCGAAGCCAGAGCTGGAGCCAAGCACAGAAGCAGCACCAAAGCCTCCACTGGCTCCACCACCAAACCCAAGTCCGCTGCCGCCAAAGCCTCCTCCACCACCAGAGCTGGACATTCTCAGGGATCCCCCGCCAAGCCCACTCCGAGAAGAGAACTGCCGGGATCCGCCGGCCGTGCGCACGGAGAGGGCCATGATGCTGGGGGTGCCCTGCCCGGCGGTGGGGAGCGTGCAGCACAGAGCAGGGCAGCTCGGGCAACGCTTCACCCTCTATATAGGGAAGGCGGTGGGTGTTCCAGCAGCAGTCCCCACCTCCTAGGAAGATCTGTAATTTTTCTCTCCCTCTTGTTTGGAGGGGAAGTCAATTTAGTGTGTCCTGACCCAACTCAATGAGACGTGCCAATCTAAATTGCTAATGGGAGTGGAAATGTGGTGCCCTCCAGGTATTTGCTGTGTGAGGGGGAATGGGTGGAGTAGAGCTGAGACATCACAATAATGTTTTGCTGTGTGCAGTGGAGCACAAAAATTTCTTCTTGCATTTAAATCCTTCCTAAATAGTTTTTTTGGTCATTACATATTCATTGCTTTCTTGGTTTGGGGCTATTATTACAGAGGTATGCTTTAGTCAGTGGAGTGATCCCTTTCATATCATACTTGCCAGTGTGCATGTCAAAAATGTGTTTCTTTGCATGATAATTTTCTGGTATGAACCTCTGCTAGATTAGTGCTCCCTCTGTGCTTAATACGAAGTAAGAAAAATGATCAACAAAAGCGTATGAAGAGGCATATGAATGTTCAGTGATCAGTAATATGAAAACATAAATGTGCTTGACTGTACCAAATATAATACCTAATTCTACTTTCTGCACTAACCCTTTCATCACTGAAGTATCGCTGTGTAATATGCATAGCCTACACCTGTGATTTGTACTTTTGAGCTGGAAACTGACTATTGTTTCTTCTCAATAGTTTGCTCTTATCTGAAAATAAGGGAAATTATTTCTGTGTTTTGGTCGATTTATAATATAAATCTGAAGATCAAATATAGCTCTTCAGGTTGCAAGTTAGCCATGGGAACCCTTCAAAACCAATATACTTTCCTTTTGGAGTTATTATGTTAAACAAAAAAAAAGTTTTTTCTTTATCCTGACTTAATTATATCATTGCATTTGTCAACTGAAATGTATTAATTTTTAATATATCCAGGAACGTAGGTACTTTTTGAGCAGAAACGTATTATGAACAGTAGATCAAAGATTTAAGCAAAGCATTTATGTAGAAATGAATTACAAGCCTGGTATCAGTGACTCGTGAGAGTGAGAGCAAGGGATTATTTTCTTTGGCAGCTGTCTATGTACAGTAAATAGCACACTGGACCGGTGAGATTTCAAAAGGAAGAGGTGTTGTGCTGAGGGTGCCAAGAGGAAAATGCAGCCTCCTTGGCGTGGAGAGCTGGGGGTGGCTCGGGAGACGTGCACTGCAGGGAAAGGGTGCGTGCGGCTGGTGGTAGAGAAGGGTTTGATAGAGATGGTGGTACTTTGTTTCTGAACTGGAAGGCAAAATATATTCTTGTTGATGAAATATCTTCTCTTACTATAGTCCCTGGTGATATAAAGATGCACAGAGAGTGAAAAATCATAAATAGGCTCCATCAATTTATTTATTAATTTTAATGTATTGTGAAATGCAATTACCACTTCTTATTTATTTGAAAATCAGTTTTTGCGAAAGTGAAGCTGCGTTACATTTGAAAGGTAGTTCAAGTTCAGAGAAACTGCCCTGAATCAACATCTAAATGCATTTTTAAAAACTAGTCGACTCTCAGTGTACTAGTACATAAGAGAAAAAAAACATTGTTAAATGTTGGATTGTCATTAAACTAACACATTTGAAAGAGAATGTATCATCTGTATCTGGTAAATTAGTTTTTGTAAAGTTTTTATGAGGTGTCTATCAAGGTTTCAGAAGTAGCAGCTCTCTTCTAAAAACTTTTCATTTACTAATATGTTGAAAGTGTGGGGAAACTTAAGGCACCAGATGTTGAAATGGACTGTCTGAAAAATGAAGAAGAATTTCTCTCAGAGCTTTCAGAAGAGTCCATTACTCTCCAGAGTCTGTTAAGCACATGAGCAAATTTTGTCACGTCTTCATCTAATGACTTTCACCAGCTTAGTGCTTTGAAACGTGAACAGTAAGTACTGCTTCAGTATTTTTCTAAATTCAATTCAGATTATTTTAAAAGCTGCAGTAAATTTATGCTGGAAGTCATTCAACACTAAATTTTACTGAGCAAGTTCTTTAATGTAATTTTAAGACTCCAATGTAAGTGAAATCTAATATTTCAGTTTTTATCTGTCTTGGAAACAATTACACCTTTTTAACAGGCTGATTTGGTTGCTTTTTTTCGTCAAGGTATTTAGTCACTGTGTAGGTAAACCCACAATCTTGTACTTCATAACTTACTGATTTTTATTAATACTCTTACACAAAGAAACTAAAAATGAAGATTAATGGGGATTTGATAGTTGGCAGTTGTCAACCCTTCTGGGTTTTAGAAAGAGTTAGATTGGATTCTTTATAAGTTTCATCTGTTGCTTTTGGCATCAGCTCCGAGAAGCTCAGAAGCCGACTCCTCTCTGCTGGTGCCACTTACACCTTCTCTTCAATCTCTTTGACCTGAGAGGAGACAATCTTGCCATCAACCACTTCTTCAACAATTGTCTTGATCTTCCTCGTTTTACTTGATTCTGGTAATGAAATTGAACAGAGAATTAACTGAATGCAATCTGTCCTGACAGGATAATATTCCTGCAGTAGTAGCAGCAATTCCCCGACCGAGAAAGTACAAAAAGGCATCTTTTCAATACGCAGTTACCAGGAAGCAAACATCTGGGGTGTGAAGGATATGATTGCTCTTCCTTTGAACATCCTGTATGTTACCCATAATACTACAGTGAACATTGTGGAATCACTTTCTACCCCTCCTGATAGTTTTGCTTCAGTGTAGCACAGATTTGGGGACCTAAAACCTAGGAACAGCCTTACACTGAGGTGGGTATTTTCACTGTTAAACTAGATACTTTGCCTGGGAGCTTACTCTCCTGGCGCACTCAGCGGAGGAAAGCAGATGCTGCTGAAGTGCCCCAGAGGGTAATTCAATAATTCCCCATTGTTCTCTTGGCTGTTTGGGGAGTCTGTGGTTTTACTATGGGCACCTGAATTATATACATAAAACCAAGTTTCATATAATCCCTGTAGTTTATCTATTCATAAAGCTTTCTTGGTGTAAGATTCCACTGAAACTCTGTTTTATATCAAACTATTTAGTTCCATTTCAGTGGACAGCCAGGAAAAAATAAGAAGGTTGGCGTCACATACCTTTTTCAGACTCTACTGTAGATACATCCACTTGGACATGTCTGTTCAAAGGACAAATTGAAAAATATAAATATACGGTGCCTAACATATATCCTAACATCTATCCAGCTACTCAGCTCACAGAGAGAACAGTGTATGCCTGTGCAGAGGCTGAGAGACAGGCTCAACTGACTTCCACTGCAGCTCCTGAAACCGAGCAGGAACCGTAGCCTGCTCTGAATCTAGACTTGGTAACTGGGCACAGACTTCCCCGCATCTGCCCCCAGCCAGCTGGAAAGTGGCAGATGTGATGCTTTCACCTTCTGAGAACACAGACAGTGTTTGCAATGCTGTTTGCTCTCACGCGGAACTGAACCGACAGGCAAGGGGTGTGTGTTTCCTCACCCGATGTCCTCTCCTTCCAGCAGACGGCGGTACGTGGCGATCTCCATTTCCAGGCGAGTCTTGATATCCAGCAATATCGTGTACTCGCTGTTCTGACCCTCCATGTCGGCTCGGAGTTGCCTCAGTTGAGCCTCTAAATTGGCAACTGCTGCCTGTATTTGGGTTAGCCGGAAACTATAACGTGCTTCGGTTTCAGCCAGAGTGTCTTCTAAAGACTTTGTCTACAGCCAATGAAAAGAACAGATATATTATTCAAGAGAATACATTTTTGTCTTAATGTTTTGATTGAAAAGCCTTTCAGTTTCTGTATCTATCCATGTAACTGTGTACTGAACACAGTGCTTATTTCAAGTACTCTATTATTTACCATGGCAAACTGGGACTGTAATTCTAGCTCCAGACCGTGGAAGATCTGTCTGCGCTCGGTGATCTCTGTCCGTTGCGTCTGCAGCTGCTCCACATTGATTTTTACTTCCTGGTTCAGTTCTTCTGTCTGAAATGCAAAAATGGAGGGGCTGTAGACTGCAGCTAGACATGACCGAGGTTCTTGCTGATGTTTAAGTAATTGAGCTCACCTGCTTCTCAAATCGTTCTTTGGCTTCTTGACGGTTCTTTTCTGCCATTTCTTCATACTGGTGTCTCATTTTTTCCATGATAGTTGCAAGGTCAATACTTGGAGCAGCATCCACCTCTACGTTAACCGAGCCGCCCACCTGTTTGCGCAGGCTGCTGATGTCCTACAGCGATGAGGATTGCGTTAGCGTCAGCTGCTGGCTGTTTCTCTAGGTTGGATCTGTCTAATACAGTGCTTAAAGAACGTATGTTCTGCAGTGGGATGAGGAGTTTACGCTTTTGAAGCTGATAGTATGACACTAAGAGGAAAGCTCGGGCATATGCTGTAGTTGAGATTTTGTTAATAGTAATTTTGCATTTAGGATTACAGTTTTTGTCTTTACTTTAGAGGGGGAAAAAAACAGTGGCTGTGTAACATTCTTACCTTTGTAGGTCTCTGAAACTATAGATGTGCTAAGAGTGAGGTTCAGTGTGAGCTTGCACTGCTGGGACATAACCGAGTGCACGAGTACTTGTAGGAACCCCACATGAGCCAGAGCTCCTGTTACAACCCACAGAGGCCAGAGGGTGTCCCAGTTGTCCAGGCAATGGGTGTTTGCTCTGCGGAGCTGAACCACCCTCTAGGCTACGTCTGCTTTATTGACTGTCTCTCCCTTGATTGCAGTAGAAGCCATAGGCACATCCACATAAGTAATACATGAATAGGTACCTAAATTTTGGTGCGCTAATCTGGAGTTGAATCCCACTGTAAGTGGGATGTTCTTTCAGATTAACCATGAAGATTTCATTATGCCTGTAAGGCTGAGTTGCTGCTTTTTTAATATGTCTCTCCCTGGCAGTGTTCGGCTGCTCTTACCTCCTCGTGGGTCTTCTTCAGGAAAGCGAGTTCTTCAGTCACACTTTCAATCTGAGACTCCAAATCAGACTTTGTCAAAGTCAAGTCATCTCGAACTCGGATCAGTCCGTTAATGTCACCCTCGACACTTTGCCTGAGCAGGAGTTCATTCTCATACCTATAAAATAAGACTTGTTTTGTCATCATGAAAATGCACCTGTTTGATGTCAATGTTGGAATCGGTAACTGTTACAGATTTAGTTGTAAATTTTTTCTTTTTATTAAACTTTGTTAGAAAATGTTTGCTTCTCAGCTTTGATGCTAATTAGCAACTTGCATGAGTAAGAGGAGCGTGAATGAGAATTTATGAAATTATCATGGAACTTACTTGAGTCTAAAATCATCAGCAGCCAGTTTGGCATTGTCAATCTGCAGGACAAGCCTTGCATTTTCCAGCTGTGCAGCACTAATCTAAAAAGGAATGGTTGAAAAGTGATGAATCGTAATTGCACACTTGATCCATTTCTGGAAATAAATACCGCACGTGGGCTGCATTTCCCTTAACTTCAGCTGTCTGGTAGTCACTTAGGCTTGAGCTTAGTTCTCTTTGAAGTGCGTAGAAGGAATTAGGGTTCTCCAAAAGACAAATTATCCTGTTATAAAATAGGTGTATAAAATGGTTGGGGTAAACTGCTCTCTGAAAGAGATTTACTTTCAAAGTATAAGAAACAGAACTGGTAAAGAATAAGAGGGGAAAGATTTAAGGAAGTTCACTGGAAGCAGAATGTGACAAATCTGTCAACTGATTGCTGAGGGAATATTTTATTATTTATAGTGGTAATTTACTATTTCAAATAGCATTCTATTATTTTTTTCAAAGCATTTGGCATTCTTTTATAAAAAACACTTTGAAATCAACAGATGCTAAACTGTATTTAAATATGAAATTACTGTCAGTGCTTTTACTTATTAAATTACCTAAGGCAAATAAATAAAATTAATTAATTTTAAGTCAAAGATTTTTCATGTATGATATTACTCAGATCTACAGACATATATCTAATACTGTAAATTATGTAAAATCTGTCAGTAATTTGTATCTGATCAAAATTAACATTTATTTTGCTTAGATGAGATGATTGCAATTTGGAAAAATGCATTTTCTACAATAAGTTATTATCTATTTCCCTGATAATTGCAATTCCTATGTTTATAGATAGCTAGGTGATATCTTACCTTGTTTTGGAGATCTTCAATGGTTTTAAAGTATGAGCTGTAGTCATGCCTTATGTCTACGGTATTCTTCTCATACCACTCCTTGATCTGCTTTTCAATCAGGGAGTTTGACTTTTCTAGAGCGCGAACCCTCTCCAGATAGGAAGCCAGTCGGTCGTTTAGATTTTGCATAGTTGATTTTTCGTTGCCGGTGAGCAGCACGTCATTACCAGTAATACTAAGCTGTAAGCTGCCCTCGAAGCCTGGCCCGTGGCTGGTGCTGGTAGATATGCGGGTGCCGTAGCCCCCAGCTCCCCCATAGACACTGGGTGCCTGAAGCTTTTGGATGCTCATTTTCCTGGAGGTTAAACCACTCACACTGGGTGCTGCAGACTGGAAGTGGCTGCTGGTACTGCGCTGAAAGCTTCGGGCAGAGAACGCCATTTGTGTTCTTTGGATGTTAGGACGAGATGGCTAAATCTGCACAGGCAGAGAGCAGCTGAAGTGAGGAGCAATGTGGGCTCTGGAAACCTTTATACTGTGTTTCAAAGAGGAAGCACAATAGTTATAAACCCCACCTCTGTTGACACATAATGTCACTGGTGTCAGCACAAATAGCACGAAGCATATTGCCCCCACACTCCATGCAATGGAAAGGGGTTTTCATCTGTTCATCTGTGTTTGAGAAAAACTCCTCAGGTAGTTTGGCTTGCTTTGTTATTACTTTAAATAAAAAATAAACCAAAAGAAACTGTTGAATCATTTATAGCAGTATACCTGCAGCCGCACTCTCTGTAGTCCTTTTGAACAAGCAAGTAGATTTACCCCCATGTGCAGGGTATGAAATTAAAATGACAGCTGACTATATGTGACAAGAGACTTAAAATATTTATATTTACGATTAAGTATATATTTCTGTTCAGCAAGCAATAGTTTAGGCCTCAGGACAGTCTAAACCAGTGTATAAATTATTTGAAAGGAGGCATCTGTAACTACTGTGTTCATATTATGTAAAGCACAAAACGATATTCATACTGGTACTGGATTAGCTTGCATTCATTTAGTATTAGAAAACCATTACAAGTTGAAGTCTCCCTTTCAATAGAGCTGAAATTAAGCAGAAAAAGTATTGCTTTGTCCATAAAGAAAGTAACAGGAACAAGAGTGTTGGAAGTCTTCATTGCACACTTGATTTCACATACAAGATGCTGAGGTCCAGGTATGAGATGCGGGAGGCGTTGAGTTCAATCTTCCAGCATAGCTTCAAGCCCTCCTGTGTGGCTGGAGTTAAAGCAAAACAAGTATCCCCCCTGCCCTCCTCGGTGTTCTAGGCCAGGAGAGCCCCAGCTGAGCAGCTGTGCTGCTGGGTGTTCTGTCACAAACCCTGGGGCTGGCTTCCTTCACGGGAAATTGGCTGCCTCTGTTCAGCGTAGGAAGAAACCAAACAATCCTACTTCCAGTCATACCGAGGTTCCTAAGCTGACTCTGGTGTACACTTTTGATACAGAAAATGCAGAGATCAAATGGAAAGCAAGGGAGTAAACTGATGGCTGGGAGGTGGTTAGTGCTGTAGGGAAGCAGGCAGCAGGTGGGCACGGGGCAGCACGTAGGTGTAGTTCCTCAGGGCACGGCACTGACAGAGCTTCAGCGTATTATTAATGTGGAGCTAGTTAGGTATTGCTTCTGTTAGTGAAAAGAGCTGCTGTGCATACTGATCTTCCGCCCTGGGGTAAGGAAATTGGTGAGATGCTAAGCTTTGGAGGCAGTAAACTGTGTATGGGAAGCATCTCCAGGTTTCTGAGAACAGAACCTGGGGTGTTAGTACTGCAGAACTTTTTTGCAGGAGGATGCTGTGAATTATCTTTGGACCTTGAACTTCTTTGGGTGTAACTGGTAATTAAAAGTATTTATGACAGTTGAAACCAAAGTACACTAGCCATATCGTTTGGACTGTCACTGCACTAACTCAGGGTGGGTCATCCTTTGCTCATTAAAAATATTCAGACCAAGAAGGAATCAGTCATCTTAGAAGGGCAGAGCTTACACTTTAAAACTGGGAGAGGATTATAGCAAGACATCCTGCTACAGTTATATCTCTTGGCTATATGTTTCACTGCCTACATGTCTGAATTTATTTTATGATAGTCTATTTAAGAGTAAACATTCTGCTTTGTCTTCTTAGTATTTATTAAAATTAGTTTCCGTGTTACCTCGATGGTATTTTTTCTAAACGTCACCTGAAGATTCCATTTTTTCTTTCATTGAGCGAATGACAAAGGTTGTTAGCTTTCATGTTTGCAGACCTAGTATGAAAAGATATTGGGCTGAATTTTCTTGGTGTTCTTTTTCTTTTCTTCAAATTGTTTACTGAAAATTTCTCTAGTCATATGATCTTATATATGCTTCTATTCCAAAAAATAAGCTGCAATATTTGCAAGAATATTTACTAAGACTAGGATGAGTATCATTCATGACAGAGGTGAGGTTTGTTCCTACTTTTGGGTTCAGTATAGGGTTTTTTTCATGGAATATATCTTGCATAGTTGTGTAGATCACTGGGAACTTCAGGAGTGAATACCAAAGACTGTAGCAGTACACGAACCGAAGGCAAGGCCCAGAGACTGACTGAAGGGCAAGTGCCTCATCATGGCTCATATCGAGCGAGCTGTTAGCTGGGAGTGGTCATCAGCCTCCGCCACCTCTTGTACTATGCCCAGGTATTATCTGGGAGATCATGGGCTGTCTTATTTTTATTTTTATTTATTATTAGTTATCATTATTATTGGTTGTAACAATAAGTGATCTAAGTGAATGTTGAGCAGCCTAAATCTGCAGTTCTGCTCAATGCTAAAGAAGTGCTGCTAACACTTGGCTGATGCCTTAGCTGAGCTGAGCTCAGGGCTGAGCTGTCAGTACTGAACGGAGCACAGCCTGGGGATTCCTGTCAGTGACGTGCTCAGTCGGAATGGTTTGTGTATAGTCATAATAAAACATTCACAGCACTGCTGATAAATTGTCGACTTCATTAAGGAATCTAACCTGTGTGACAGAAGTTTGATCTATATTACAGAACAGTAAAGATAAGTCACGCAGGGTTATGGTGACATGTGCATGCCAGTTAGTATTACTCACCTTTACTAGCCAGTCGTGGGCAACCAGTCTGGAGAGTTCAAGGGAAAAAGACACACCCACCTTTGGTTCTTTTATGCTGCCTTTAGGTGGGTTGTGTGCTTTTCTTGTGGATGGCAAAGGTTTAAATAAAGTCTTTTAGTTCAGTCTTTAGGGATGTCCATTCTAGGAGTATTAGTCCCTGTAACTATGTTGCTGATCGCAGTTTGGATTTCGTGTCATAAGAATTTCAGTCCCAAAGATCTCTTACAGTAGAGTCCTGAAAAGACTTCCACTGTACCAAGTGCGTTCAAGGAAGAGAAATTCCTTATTCAATATCCCAGCCATGTTCCAGTATCCAGTACTTGTGTGTCTGAGAAGTTGCCCTCCTTCTTTTCTTAACCTACTTGTGAGAAGTTACTTCCTGATTTGTGCCACACAGCTGGTTTACAAACAAGGGAACGGTTGTGAGATGAGCTTTCCGGGGAAAATCAGAGGCAATTTTAAATGTGGGTGTGAGCCAATAGCAGATTTTAAATGAAGATTTTTCTGAATGAGTGAAAAGAAGTACTTGAGACACTATCTTTGCAGCATTTGCTAGTGCAGATCCTGCACCCTTGAAGACTACTTTCTCCAAAGCATGAAGAAAGCTGGTTTGTGTGTTTGCTGAATGTGGTCATTTGAGAGAAAGATCCAAATAATGTCACTAAGTCAACTGGATCCACTTAAGCCCTGAGCACTTGCAGCACAACATCTTACACTGGCTTCCTCACATACATATTTTTTTCCTCATTTCCCTCTCTTTTTTTGTCTTTTGTCCAATGAAAATATCTTAATCATCAAATCACTCTACCTTATTTCTTTCTGCTTTGAGCTTTTGACTAGAGAGGTAAATTTTAAACATTAAATAGTATGATATTTAAAGAAGCGCTCCAGATCTTGGAGTGGTGCATAAGACAATGTGTTGATTACATTCTCCCAAGCAGAGGCTGAAAATGGAAGTCAGAAGCTGCTTTTCTGTCCTAGCTGCTCTCCTCGAGTAAAATCGGGTGTCAGTGCCAACAACAACAGCTCCAGGCCGTACAAATGAACCTTCTCTTTTTTCTCCCCTAGAAGTATCATTAATAACAGCTTTAATACAATCTAAAAGACTACCAGGCAGCTCTTTTTCCCGTGTAAAAGTTATATGAGGTGTCAGTGGAGTTAGGAAACCAGTAAGCTGGAGAACATTTCAGCTGGAATAGTTCAGTATCCTTGAGAAAATATCGCATATTTATATGATTCAGTACGCAAATACTATTTTCATGGCCCTGTGCAAATATATGCATGCACCGATAGTGCGCCGTAAAAGATAGGTTCCAACACGCTGTCTGGCATGTGTTCACGTTGGTGCAGGGTTTTTTTCACTAGCTTTAACAAAAAATGTAAAAATCCCGGTAGTTTCAGGAATCTGACTTGTATCACACTTAGAACCCTCACCCCAGGTCTCAGGGTTTGTGCCAGGCAGTCCGGTGTCCAGAAGAAGAGCAAAGACGGAAAGCAGGTCGAAAGCACAT